TGGCCTTTTTTTCTGGGGCTCCGGCTGTGCTGTGACCCGAACCGTGTGTGATTTGTGACAAGTCCATTTGTTTCTTGGGGCCTGAGGCGGTTTTCATCGGCAGAGGAGCGGCGAGTCCAAGTGGGTGGGACCTGGTAGAGTTGGGGGTTTCAGGGGACCAGAGGACGATTGGTGAGAGGATTCCTGTCTTTGGCACCAGTGGTCAGGCTTCCGTGTCTTGGGGGGCACAATCGGAGAGATAGCCAACCCGACCCTTCAGAAAATAGAGTCAGCCTGGCCTGCATCCATCGCCCGCTTTAGTGGGGTTGGTCGGGATTCCCACCATGGAATGCAATGCAGCCTTGCCTTCCTCAGGGGGCTTCTCTTCGTAATGAAGGAGACCAAAAACACAGGGTTTTAATCCAGGTCGCCCGGGACAGGCTCATTATATGAAACTTACTGAACACTGACTGCATGCCAGGCACCATCCATGCTCCTCTATTAATTCACCAAACGGGTTTCCTGAGTGTCAGGCCCTGTTTCTGTGTCCACGAACCTCTGCACAGAGAAAACTCCCACCCTGACTTCTGCAGTGAGGACAACACAGCACAGGCAGGATGAGGCAGAATTGGGATGCGCAGTCAAGGTCATCAAGGGAAGATGCAGCAGTAGAGGAAAGGCATCCTACCTTAGGCCTGAATTTCATTTTGGGCAATCAGACAGCGTTAAGCTTGTAAACCAAAAACATAATAGTATGTATGCCTTTGATGCTAAATAGGTGCTCACTGATAAGTGAGGCTTCCCTCCCAGCAGAAGACGCTGTTATGTGTAAACTGCTGTTCTGCTCCTTTTTCACTTTCTCACACTTGAAGTCATGCAACAGCCATGTTGGGTAACCACCCTCATTTGAGGAGAGAGAGAAACTGAGCCACATTGAGGAGCTGTCTGCCTTCTTGTCATGATAACACCCTGGAAGTCATCTGCAACAAGATGTCCCTTGCCCACTGCGGTCCTCAGTTTTCCTCTCTTTGGAATGATGTGGGTAAATCTGAGATTGTTCTTCAACAGTGCCTGGAATAGCACAGGCTCACAGCCAGTGCTTGGGAAATGCCAAGCTGAGGGACACTGCTGTTGGGGTCTTGAGGGACACTGTGGGGGCTGGGCTCCAGGGTCTGGCAGCCACAGCTCCCCCTACCTCCAGATAGGGGTTCCAACACTTGGGGTCTCTGGTAACCATAGATGCCAGCTCAGTCTCACATTCCCTTCCCCCCAGAGCTGCCTGTAGAGACACCGGCTTCCTGCAAGAGACCAGAGGAGAAGGGAATGACCACTGGGCTTCTGGATTCGGGGTGCCTGGTGAGTACACCACCATCCTCACAACCCAGCCTCACAGATTTGAGAGAACCCCCCAACAACCAACTTGGCCTTGTCTCACATTGCCAGCTGCTCCCACCAGCAGCCAGTGCCAAGCTTGCTCTGGCTGAGGAAAGCCCTGTGTGATATTCCAAGAGCAAGTGACCTTTGAGGACGTGGTCATGGACCTCACCCAGGAGGAGTGGGGGCAGCCAGAGCCCACACAGAGCCTGCACTGCAGTGTGATACTGGAGACTTGCAGGTTCCTAGTCTCCGTGTTTAAGGGCACACCCATGCCCCTCATGGTCTCCTCTGGTTTGGACTGTAATTCTCCTGGATTAAAAGTTGGGGTATGTCTAGGCATTCAGCGCAGATAAGTCAGATGTGTCTTGGGCCTGAGGGAACAGACTGTTTTGATTTAGGAATTATCAATGAGGATGTTTCCCCTGCACGTTACACATGCCACCCGAAAATGCCAGAGGCAGGATATGTCGGGTAAGAGGGACACACTGGGTCCCAGAACTGCAGAATCCCAGGCCAGAACTGGGTTTTCCTCTATTGCTGTCGGGAGCCCCCCTCCTTCTTCACTTCCTCCTTCTGTACCTCTTTCTGCCACCATTCACACAAGGGTACTCCCATCTTGTTTCCGCCACAGGGTCCTCACCACAGTGGTCATTGTAGCCAGTGGGCAATGGAAGAAGAGCTCTCTCTGGGTGGACAGGCTGGAATCACAGGCCCCTCACTGAGCTAGGGGTGAGGGTCAGGTACTGACAGTGGAAGGACATGAGTCTATTACCACAGTAAACTTCGGTCTTTGAGGTTACCAGCCACTTGGGTCCTGGAAGGCTGAAAGTCAGTGAGCAGAGGATTGGGAAGGGCCCTGGGACATAATTGCTCATGCCCTGAGTCTCCCCCTGATCAGGACATTGGCTCCCGAAGCACCCCCTCATCTGCTTGCTGGAGCAGGAGGTGGAGCCATGGCCAGTGGATGAAGAGGTTCCACAAGGTGTGTGTCTGGGTCAGATGACAGTGTTCAGGGCTGGGAGGATCCCACTCACCCCCAAAGGTCTCTCTCCATATCTGATCTCAGATTCCTCAGAGCAAACTGACTACTCAATTTTTACTGAATGCTCACCAACCACCATTCTACATGAGTGAGAACAGTTCTTGTCTTCCCTGAATTTACATTCTTGGTGAGGGAGAGAGGCACACAATAAATAACTAAAAATATAATAGCAACAGTGAATAGAATGGTGACAGAGTGTGATGAATGCTGAGAAAGTGAAAGTAGGTGAGGACGTGGAGACTAGAATTAAGGGGAGGACTTGAGCAGAAAGATGAGGGAGCCAAGATGACATGGAGTTAAAGCCTAAACTGTAAGAACAGGGCCCCCGTGAAACAATCTGGGAGAACAGCTTCCAGGGGAAAGAAACGGCAGGCCCAGAGGCACTGGGGGGCCAGGGAGTGCAGGTTCCTTAATGAGCAACAGACACTCCACCCTCGGTGCTTTAAACTTCAGTGCTCATGTATGACTCAAGGATGTGTCATGGCTCTAGGCCTGGCTCTTCCACGTGCCTGTAGATTGCCTGGGTGATTCTGCTCTTTATACCTGCTGTCCAGCTCCTCAGACCAACAAGCACCTCTGTAAGAAATGGGCGTGTCTTCACACTCTAGCAGACAGTTCCCACTGGTGTCAAGCCATGACCCCATGTAAGCAGTAGCCCATGGCCAGTGCCCCAGAAAGATGCACCACGTGTGGGAGGGAAGTCATAGCAGGGGTTCCCCTCCCGCGAATAATAACTAGCCTTCAGTCCAGTCTAGAGTGGCTCAGTTGGTTGGATGTTGTCCCCCATGACCAGGTGCAATTCCTGGTCATGGCATATGCCTCGGTTGCCAATTTGGTCCCTGGTCAGAGCATGTATGAAAGGCTGCCAATCGATGTTCCTACCTCTCTTTCTCCTTCCGTTCTCCTCTCTAAACAAACAAATAAGTGAAAAAATAATATTAAAAAAATAATAACAACCAGCCTTTGCCCAGTATATTAGTCTCCTATTGCCACTGTAATGAATTATCATAAATGCAGTACTTGAAGTAACGCAAATGTTCTTACAGTTCTAGAAGAACCAAGTCCAAAACGGGTCTGACTGGGCTGCATTCAGGGTCATCAGAACAGGGTTCCTTCTGGAGGGTCTGGGGAGAATCCATTTTCCATCCTTATCCAGCCTCTCGAAGCTGCCACATTCCTGGACACACGGCCTTGTCCATCTTCAGTGCCATCAGTGGCTGGTCAGATCTTAATACATCAGGACACCCTGACCTGTACTTTCCTGCCCTTCACATTTTAGAACTCTGTGGTTACAGGGTGTCCACCTGAAAAATCCGGGGTAATCACAGTGATGGACTAATGGCAAATGATTAGCAACCATGATTCCTTGTTCACATGCAAGGTCATAGAATACTCCCAGTTCAGGGCTTAGGTTCTTTCCAAGACACTATGCTGACAAACGCACTTGACTGGACTGTTTTCTCCCCCTTAGCTTTTCAATGGAATGTGGCATAAATAGGAAATGTGCCTATATCACACACCTTTACACCAGTCCACTGTTGGGGTAGAGGCTGTGTACCAGAGCAAAATGGCCCTCGTACCAGGAAGAAGTGGTGGGGGGAGAGGAGGACTGCATGTGCTCTTTGTTTAGCACATCTGTTCGTGCCTACTGTGGATAGGGGTACACTGGTTAGTAAGGCGGGCAAAGGCCCTGCCCCGGCATCCTCCTAGCTAGTGAGACACAGAGTAAACCATCTCAAAGGGCTACACCACAGTCATTTATTGATTGTCCTGGTGATAGTTCAGTAGTTTGCACTTTGGGGAACTGATGGGTTTCTTTACATCTGTGGTGAGGTGGTACAACAGTGAGGGCCCTCCAAGATGACAGTGGTTCTGAGCAACAGGAGGAATGAGTGGTCCTTCTCACGTGGTGGCTTTTCCTCCATCACCACCTGGCATGGTTGACGCTGTGTTAGCTGGGGCCTGACCATCACTCTGCTCCCTCCAGTCCTGCACGTCTGAAGTCTCACTATCTCCTCAGCATCTTTTCTTGTCCAAATTCTCTGTGACCACCTTGCCCACTCTATCTTTACCCCTTAACACCAACTCCCCTGCTCTGTTTTCTGTACTTTCCCTCTGTCTTCTTTTCTTCTGTGGTTTGTAAAGCTATATGGTTTCAAAACACAAGCCACTTGTGTTTGAAACTTTAGAAACTGTCACTTTAATTCTTCCAACCACCTATCCACAGACAAACTCTTATTCCCAAAATAGAGATTCAGGGACAATTCCATTTTTTTTGTTGTTTCTTTCAGACTAAGAAACCAGATCAAAAACCAAACGCCAGCTGCAAAGCAAGACATCTCTGAAAAAATATCCAGCAATGTCCTGGTAGAAAGGTTCCTATGGTATGGTCTGCCAGGCTATAAGCCTGAAGACGCTGAGGGCCAGTGGGAACAGAGTTGTGAGAGTCTTTATTGCGCTGGCATTCAGGCGTGACAGGCGTGAAGCATGTGACCACATCCATTCAGGAGCAGCAGCTGGGGAGTGAGCTTGGGGAAAATTGAAGTCTGAGCCCTGATCTCCCAGTTCAACCCATGACTCCTGCAAGGCGAGCCTCCCACATATGGGGATGCATAGAAAAAGGGAGACTCCCAACTCCAATGTCCAACAGAAAACCTGTGCAACAGAGAAACCCTACCGATGTCAGGAATGTGGAAAGCCCTTTAGTCACAGCTCAGCGCTCATTGAACACCACCGAACGCACACAGGAGAGAGACCTTATGAATGTCATGAATGTGGAAAAAACTTCCGAAACAGCTCAGCACTTACTAAACACCAAAGAATCCACACTGGTGAGAAACCCTATAAGTGCATGCAGTGTGGGAGGACCTTCAACCAAATTGCCCCATTGATCCAGCACCAGAGAACTCACACGGGTGAGAAGCCCTATGAGTGCAGAGAATGTGGGAAGTCCTTCAGTTTTAGGTCCTCCTTCAGCCAACATGAGCGGACTCACACAGGCGAGAAGCCTTATGAGTGCAGTGAATGTGGGAAGGCCTTCCGGCAAAGTATCCACCTTACCCAGCACCTGCGAATACACACTGGGGAGAAGCCCTATCAGTGTGCAGTGTGTGGCAAGGCCTTCAGCCACAGCTCATCCTTGACTAAGCACCAGCGAATTCACACTGGTGAGAAGCCCTATGAGTGTCATGAGTGTGGAAAAGCCTTTACCCAGATCACACCACTGATTCAGCATCAGAGGACACACACAGGAGAGAAGCCCTATGAGTGCAATGAGTGTGGGAAAGCTTTCAGCCAGAGCACACTCCTGACTGAGCATCAGAGGATTCACACTGGGGAGAAGCCCTATGGGTGCAACGAGTGTGGAAAAACCTTCAGCCACAGCTCATCCTTAAGCCAGCATGAACGGACCCACACGGGAGAGAAGCCCTATGAGTGCAGTCAGTGTGGCAAGTCCTTCCGGCAGAGCACACACCTCAGTCAACATCAGAGGATACACACGGGGGAGAAACCCTACGTCTGCAGTGACTGTGGCAGGGCCTTCAGCCACAGCTCATCCCTAACAAAGCACCAGCGAATCCACACTGGGGAAAAGCCCTATGAGTGTAATGAATGTGGCAGGGCCTTCAGCCAGCTCACTCCACTCATTCAGCATCAGAGGATCCACACAGGAGAAAAGCCCTATGAGTGTAATGAGTGTGGCAGGGCCTTTAGCCAGAGCTCCCTACTCATAGAGCACCAGAGAATCCACACCAAAGAAAAGCCATATGCATGCAACGAGTGTGGGAAGTCCTTCAGTCACAGCTCATCGCTGAGCCAGCATGAGAGGACACACACTGGGGAAAAACCATATGAATGTCCAGATTGCGGAAAATCCTTCAGGCAGAGCACTCACCTCACGCAGCACCGCAGGATCCACACTGGCGAGAAGCCATATGAGTGCAGGGACTGTGGGAAGGCCTTCACACACAGCTCTTCCTTGACCAAGCACCAGAGAACTCATACTAGGTAGAGATACTCTATATGAATTGGGACATAGGGAGCCTTAAACCATAGTTCATCCCTTCCAGCACTTGACCCAATCATACTCATATTCAAGACAACACATTTGTACGTATGCCGTCACACATAGTAGACTCCTCAGGTCATCTTAATGGGGATGTGAAGACAGTGTTGAAGACCTTCAAATGAGTGTCCATCAATGATCTATTATAGAACCCAGAAAAGGAAAGCTGGGATGCCCTATTCCAAGTGGCTTGGTTGGAGTGTCATTCCATAGCTAAAGGACTGCAGGTTCAATTCCCAGGCAGGGGATATACCTAGTCTGTGCATCTGATCCCTGGTCCAGGCACAGACAGGAGGCAGTTGGTTTTTCTCTTCTTTCCACTGTCCCGTCCTCTTTCTGTAAAACCAGTGGGAAAAAATGTCCTTAGGGGAGATTTTTTAAAAACAAAAAAGAGAAGGGGGAAAATGTATTGAATTTTGGCATGACTTCTAAGGATTCAACAGATTCCAAAATTTAGATTCTCAAAATGGTGTGAATCCCAACAAATGTTTTTCATGTAAGAGAACCAGATGCAGTCCAACTTTATCATTTCACATTACCTTTTTGAGTAGTGCTTATGAATGGTACAGATTGATGCTGATATTCCCTGAAAACAATACAGCAGAGTGTTCTACACATGCTAGTGGAATCTGTATGGAATCACCATGCATATTTGCCTGTCTTTGTACAAATTTTCTGATCTATGTGTAAATTATTTATTCAAGGTACATAGCAACTAATCTCACATATTTGAATCCCATATGACATGCATCATTTGACAATAAATTAAGCCTTATAATAAGCCCTGTTGGAGAAATTTTATATAGGAACTCTTGAAATTTAAGTTCCACGGAGTTTTCCAGGTTTCACAATGGTTTTGCTGCTCTTTTCTGGTTATAAATTTCTTTACAGGATTTATGGTCATTGGGCAGATGGTGTCATTGCACAAAAAGACCAAGATTTGTCCTAAGTCCCATTTCATAAGCAATAGGACTTCCATGTTGAAACCTTATATTTTGCAAGATTTAGTTATCTGTGAAGTGTACAAATTAATTTGTTCTTCAAGCACTTTTTAATTGATTCTCATGGTGTTTAATAAGCTTTCGGGTTTTTAAAGATAATTTAACTTGAAGGTCCACGGTATTTCATGGAAATACTAAAAGCAGTGTCCCAAAACAACCATGACCCTTAAATAATTCCTTGCCATCTCTGACTATTGCCACACAGCAATAGAAACTAATAACACTCTGGGAGATTGTAATACAAATACAAGTGGGTTACTCTTGCTTCATACATTCCAGTGGTTCCTATCACTCCAGATAGAGACAACCCTCACTGTGACAGACAAGGTGGTGAAAAATTGGGCATCTGCCCACCTTTGGGTCTCAGCCTAACCCGGGTGTCTCTCTGCTGGCCACACAGATCTTGTTTTTCTGAAAAACTGTCTCTCACACTGGGACCCGTGACTTTTTGTCATATATGAAAATCACTAGCGTGTATGTTATGAATGCAGACTCTTGAGCCTTGCATGCCAACAAATGATGCCAAATTTGGGGGGTAGGGGTGATGAGGCCGATTCTTGTATCATCTATCTGCTGTAAACACAACATTCTGCCTTTCTCAGGGACTTAAGAAACACGCTTTCTGCTGATTCAGGGACTGCTCCCTCTGTGTGTCACTAGTTCATGCCCACATATCCTCTCTCTGATACATAAATCTTTTTCCTGGAACTATTTCCAGAGACTTTGTAGTACCCATGACAGTCATTTCTGTTTATTTTAAAGACTATCATTCTCAAAAGACTAAAAGTGGAGGTCACCCTTACCAGCCCCTGTGGGATTAGGGCCCCATCTTATGGCCCCAATTGACCTAAATTATCTCCATAAAGGCCCTATCTCCAAATAGTCACATTGGGGGTTTAGACTTCAACATGTAGTTGCAATTCCGTTTATAATGGTATTTAAAGATTTCTTCCCATGAAATGCCAGGTTACCATGTATGTGGTTTACCTTTCCCTACACCATGAACTCTGCCTGTTCCTTGTGTCAGTCTATCTGGGTCTGCCCCTGGCCTTCCAAATATTTTACATCCCTTTGAGTCACGGCTCAGTGCCCTGTGGACTACATTTTTCAGCTTTCCAAATACCATTGGTGAGATTTGGGTCACCTTCTGATACTCCCTGTTTGCTGCACTTTTGTCAATGTTCCATGTGCCTGCACATTTGGGTAGTTGTTGAGACCCTCAGCACACACCCTTTGCTGCTAATGCCTGGCTAATCCAACTTCCCCTAAGAATGAGTGGGAACATGTTATTTTTTGTCTGTTGAGGAAAGAAAGCATCCACTTACAAGCTTTACCATGTCTCCAGCAGGATGGTGGTAGTGGTTAGGGGAAAGGCAAAACCTGAAATATTTTCAGTACGTTTGTTTTTTTGTAGTGGTTTTACAACAGCCATTCTGAAACTATTTTAGGATGCAGTAAATTAACATGTCATGTTTTGAGCTGCCAGTATCCTCACTACTGAGCCCAATTGCATTTCCCAGGGGGAAATGCCAGTGGTGCGGGTGTCCCTCAAGGGGGCCAGTGTCCCTGGGTCAGAGCGTTCAGGACACTCAGCCAGGACCAAGACTCACTGAAACACCTCTCTCTATATATAATTCACAGAGGCTACATTTGAGTAAGCGTTTGAACCTGAAGAAGGGCGCCGGTGGACAGTTTGGCACAGTACAGGGAGCCTGGGTTTGAAAAATCTAGGAGTTATAGAAAATCACGATTTCACCAACCTTGTCCACCAGGTCGCGAACTCCGACAACTAGCGCTTTCTATTGCTGCCCCAAAAGGCTTCGAGGTACTGTGGCCCTTCCAGTTGTAAGGAGGCAGTAGACAGCTACAGACAATCCAACTCACCTGGGAGCCACACTTTCTGGAAGTTGAAGTCCAACGCCTTCTGGGAGTTGACGTCTAGGCTCTCCCGTTTAATGCAGGTCGCACGTCGAAGGTTTTTTCTCACTACATTTCCGAGAGGCTACTTCCTTATGCTTTCGGGCCTCTGGAACGGCGCAGTGGGCACCTCCCAGAAACCCAGGAGTTTAAGAATTCCCAGAGTTTTAAGGAATCATGGTTCCTTAAAACTAAACTTGTCCACCAGGGGGCGCAGTTAGCCACCTAGAGCCAGGTTCTACTTCCCAAATGAAGATCGGATGCCCGAGTGCCCTTCCCCATCGAGGGAAGGAATAGGGGACTGACGGATTACAGCGGGAGAGGTGACCTCTGGGAGTGCTAGAGTTGGCTTCCCCACCAGGCCAAGGCCGCTCCTATAAGTGTTAATTCCTATAGTTCCCAAGGGCTACTGTTGAGCGGGTGCCCTGGCATTAAGAAGGCTGTGACCGCAGCTCCACAGTGTCGTGGAATCGTGTTTACATTAACGTGTCCACCAGATAGCAATCTCTGACTCCTACTATTTCTCCAGGAAGGTTCCACAGTACCTGTTCGGTTGTCCTTCCTGACAGTTGGACACAGTAGACAGCAACTGAATGCAGGGGGGGGGGGGGGGGTCGGTGGTTCACACGAGCAAAGCCTCCTGGGAGTCATAGTCCATTGACAGCCGCTGGGCTCCAATTCCCCAACGCTGTGGACTGCAACTCCTGAGCAAAATGTGGCAGAACGATGGGCCTCAGCGCATTTTGGTCTTCAGAGTGGATTTCAAACATGCCACATTCTCAGACATTTTGCTGAACGAAATGCAAATAACTGTTGCGATGTGCTTTCTGTATTCCATGAAGAAACAAACTTAAATATTATGTCAATGTCCAGAAGTCTCTGTATATTGGGAGAATAATGACACGTCCCAGCTGACACAGACCCGTCCTTTTACTGCCTCCCGGAATGAAACCCAGGGAACAATCAACTTTGCCTTTATTTTTATCAGTATTCCCTCTTTATTGCCCCTTCTATTTTTGTCTCTATCTCTCCTGCAAGCTGGGACGACAACCACAACGCTGGGGGCGGAGAGAGAATATTTATGAAGGGGACATAAGTATCAGCGTCAGGAATCGAATTACAGCCAGGAATGCTACTGGTGGGGGAACATGCGCACTGAAGCCACGCAAGGCGACCTGGGATATGTAGTTTGATAAACGCGGGCGCAGTCCCTGAGAAAAGGAGAGGTGGCCTTCGTCCTCCGCTCCACAAAACAATGCCTAATGGGGATGTTTCATGGGGGTTAGTGACGCGGAGGCCAGCGGTGTCTGGGAGCAGATCTCGGATCCCAGCCTAACGGGTGAGACCTCGGTCCAAGGTCAGGTGAACAAGTAAAGGGCCGAAAGTTCGCGCGGCTCCTTCTGGGAGTGGTAGTTTGATACATGTCGGTGCAGGCTCAGTCCCAGCCAACAGCAAAGGTGGACTTTGTCCCGCCGGTGATGGAAGGGTGAGCATGGGAGGTTTCCGGTGGAATGACGACGCCGCGGTCCACGGGAGCGCGCGCGCCTCACTATGGGTGATGTAGTTCGGACCGAGTGACTGGAAGATCCGCAGCCTTTGTGCTGTGGTGTAACATGAAGTGGGCCTGGTCCTGGGCGGAACTGCTGAGACAGACGGAAGTTGACGAAGTTGTTCTCGGATTCCAACCTTGCTACTGTCCTGGGTTCAGCCACTTCTGCAGAAACTGGGCGAGTGCAAGGGACGGTGGTCCCTGTCGCCCGACTGCATAATCCTGACTAGTTCCCTAAGGGGACTTGGTTAAGCCAACGAGATACGTGGTGTATATACATCAGGGACTGTCGCGCAGGCAGAGGACCCTGCCACCTCCCTGGAGCTCCAGACGCGCGGTGAGTACCAAGCCGCAGCGTGGTTGTGTTATTTTCCCCTTTTCTCTCTTGATCCTGAGCAGCTTGCTTCCAGGGCAGCTGTGCTGGGCCGAGTGGGCGGGGCCCGATAAGGGGGTGCTCCAGGTTCCAGGCAGGTCTGGGCTGGGGTGGGCTGTGACTTCGGCGAAAAGGGTCGGAGCCGCCCGACTAGTGGACGGAAACCTACAGGCAGCGGGCTGACCTTTCGGAAACTGGAGCCCGCCTGATCTGCACTGTTCCGAGGGTGGGGAAGGCAGCATTCCTACCTTGGAGTCAGATTCTGGCTTATCTTCTTGAAGGGCGTTCTCTCCCTAAAGGTTAAAGGTGAGGGGAAAACAAAAACAAGACTTTAATCCAATGTGCCTAGGACTCAGAAAACGACTCATTATGTAAAACTCCTGCCCTGGCGGGTGTGGCTCAGTGGATCGAACACCAGCCTACGAACCGAAGGGTGGCCGGTTTGATTCCCCGTCAGGACACAGGCCTGGGTTGGGGGCCAGACCCCCTGGGGGCATGCATGTGAAGCAACCAACCACACATGGATGTTTTTCTCCCTTTCTTTCTCCCTCCTTTCCCCTTTGTCTTAAAAATAAATAAAATTTAAAAAGTAAAACCCCTATTGAGCACTAATTGCATGCCAGATACCATCCATTCTTCTTCTAATTCATCAAACATGTATTTATATGTGCTGGGTGCCATCTGGTTTTATGCCTGCCAGCCTCTGCACAAAGATAACTTTCACCATGAATACTGCAATGAGGACAACACAGCACAAATGGGATGTGGCAGAATTGGGATGCACAGTCAGTGTCATCAATGGAAGATGCAGTAACAAGAAAATGCATCCTGCCTTGGGCCTGAGTTTTTGTTGTGGGCAATCACACAGGGTCAAGCTTGTCTACCACAGGGAACAAGCAATAGTACGTATATCGCAGGCGTAAACAAGTGCTCACTGAATCATGAGGCTTCCCCCTTCATCATTGTCATGAGTATATTGCTGTACTGCTCCATTTTCACTTATTTTTATTATGTTTAACCCTCACCTGGGGATATGTTTACTGATTTTCAAGAGAGAGTAAGGGAGAAAGGGAGAGAAACATCTATGTGAGACAAAAATATCAATAGGTTGTCTCCCAACAGGGGACTGAACCCACAACGTAGGTATCTGCCCTGATTGGAGATCGAACCTGGAACCAACTGAGCCACCCAGCCAGGATCCTTTTTTCACTGTCATTCTGGTCACCTCTATGTCAGGTCACCACCCTTATTTTAAGAGAGAGGGAAACAGGCACAGCAAGCAGTGTCCGGGGAACCCAGACTGTCTGGCTCCCTGTCATGACAGCAGAAATAGTCGTCACCCTGGAAATCATCTGAGTACCCAGGGTTGTCTCCATTGCCCACCCCAAGTCTCAGTCTTTCTGCCTTTGGAATAGCACAAGTAAATCTGAGGTCATTCTTCAATAGCGCTAAGAGCAGCCCTGGCTCACAGCAGGCGCTTGGGAAATGCCAAGCTGAGGGACACTGCTGTTGGGTTTGGCTGGGTGCTGGGCTCCAGGCTCTGACACCAGCAGCTCCTTCTACCTCCAGGTAGGGGTTCTGACACTTGAGACCTCTGGTCACCACAGGCACCTATTCACTGTCTCACATCTTCCCCCCAACCCCAGGACTGCCTGCAGAAAAAGCCAGCTGTTCCTGCAAGAGACCAGAGGAGGAGGGAATGACCGCTGGGCTCCTGGACATGGGGTTGCCAGTGAGTACACCACTGTCAGGACAGGCCTCCCAGGCTGTGGCCTGTGGTTCCCACCAGGCTCAACTGGCCTCAGAGCCTTTGTCTTCATTCTGCCCCCTGCCAGGAATGTCCTGTAGCCAACTCTGTGTCCTCCTTCAGATCTCACTCTGAGGACCAGGTGGATTCCCTGGCCTGCCCCTGCTGCCTGGCTGTCATTGATCCTCCATCCCACTGATGGGTCAGGCATTTCAACACAGGGCTCCCGGTCCGTACTCTCAGCTCACTCTCTTCATCACTAGGCAGATGTGTAGTGAGCACCACCCAAGGTCCAGACACTGGTCCACGCACCGTTTCAGGAATTGCAGGTGTAGGAACAGATGAGGAAGCAGAAATCTCTGGGGGACTCACAACCCTCCAGAGAAATGTAAAACATGTGAATTGTGCAGGAAATGAGGCCCAGAAGAGGAAGGGCTTGTGTAACAGGCATTAACTAGAACAGGGTTTCAAACTCATTTTTACCCACATGAAAATGAGGGGGCCACATCAGCCTCATGTTTTGTCTTTAAAAGGCCGAATGTAATTTTAGGACTGTATAAATGTAACTGCTTCTTAACAGTTAAGCGAGAGTTCGGTGCTACCACTGGGTAGAAATAAGGTGCCAGGCCAGATACAAGGTGGAGGGCTGGATTCACACCACAGGCCTTGTGTTTGCTCCCTGTGAACTAGAAGAACGTGGGAGGCGTCTGTAAAGAAGAAGCCCAAGGGCGGGGTGGGAGTGAGGTGGGGGCTCACACAAAGAATGTTCCAAGCAGAAGGAACAGCATGAACAAAGGGCTCAAGTGAAGCACAACAGGCACTTTCCACAAAGGGCAGGCACACACACAGCAGGAAGACCGAGAACAAGGTCTCCTAGAGCAGACGCCTGGGGCCTGGGAAGTAATTCTGGCCATTTTTTCCATTTGCAAAGGCCTAGCAAACACTCTGTGTAGAGGGGGAATCTACGAATGGGTGGAACAATGGACATTCTGAACTCTGGTCAGTGTTGGACACATGTGACCCTAATCAACCCTTATCTCAGCTCCATGAAGTGAAATGAGGAGGAAACCAAGGCACACAAACAAGTCATCTCCTACGTTCCACCAGTTTGAGGAGGGCCCAGCTCTGACCATCTGACCACGCTGCGGCCCCCGGTGCCCAGCACACATCCCGTTTGTTACCTTCATGACTCCTTCCAGATCTCTGAGTGGCTGGCCCAGCAGCATCCCTCCCATGTTCTCCAGAGCACTGACCCTCCTGGGATTTTAGATTGCTAGCTCCCTGACCCTGCACTGGCATACAGACACGTGCAGGCTTGTATGGGTGTCTCTTGTTTCCACAGTGCCTGCTGTGCCCAGAACGGTGACTTGCATTTAGTAGAACCCCAAATAACCATTCAGGGAGACCCAGTACATGTGGAAAATGTGCTGGCAATAGGGAAAGTTAGTGAAAGAGTTAAAAACTCATGAGCCCACAGCAAACCAGTCTGAAAAGAGATGCCCACAGATAAAGCACCTGCTATGCACTGTGCCCAGGTTACACGCTTCACATTAATTCCTTCACTCCTCCCAGCAGGCCTCTCGGAGTTCCCATTAAGTTAAAGATGAGAGCGGGGAGGCAATAGAAGTTAAAGACATGCCTGGGGGACTTCTGCCAAGATGGAGGCATAGGTGGACTTGCAGGGCCTTCTCACACAACCAAGTTTAGAGACAACTAAATATTAGCAACAGAAAACACAGCCAGAACACGGAAAATTGAACTTTTCCGAAGTCCGTTAACAACAAATTCTTCAGCCTGACCGGTAAGGGGCGAAACCAGCGGCTGGGGAAGCGGGATTGCACAGGACTCGGTCAGACAGACTCAGGCGCGGAATCCAGACGCGCGGAATCCAGGCGCAGGGTTGGACCTAGTGAGCGACCGAGCGAGCCACCAGGCGAGCGACCACGGGGGAGACAGCAGGGCAGGGGTGCTGCGTGTTGACTGTGGTCGCGCATTTGTGCGCGGGCGGACAGGCGAGGGAGTGGGCGGTTGGACAGGGGCCCGGAGGGTCCCGCGGCAAGCGGAGGGCGCCGCCATTTCCCTGCTCTGACCCCACCTCCACATTCAGCGTCATAACCCAGCGACTCTGAGTGGCCCGGCCCAGGTGAACCACCTAAGACGCTAATCCTCACCCAGCTGTGAGAAACAGCAGGGGGTGCCGCCATTTCCCCACTCTGGCCACGCCCCCACATACAGCGTCACAACCCAGCCACCTGGGAGTCCAAGGCGCCGCTTCTCACACTTAAAGGGCCAGAACAGACCAAAAATGTCGCAAGAATATCTCAAAGCCCCAGAGCCCATAGATCTAAGCGATGAAGAAATAGCAAAACTCTCAGACGCACAGTTTAAAACACTGGTCATCAGGATCCTCACAGAACTGGTTGATTATAGCCACAAATTAGACAAATATATGAAGGCGAAACTAATTGAAATGAATGGAATTGCACAGGACACCAATAGCAATGAAAAGGAAACTGGGACTCAAATCAATGGAGTGGACCAGAAGAAAGCAAATAATGGCCAAATAGAAAAGAGTCAAGAAGCAAGAATTCAAAGAAATGAGGAGAGTCTTAGGAACCTCCAGGACATCTTTAAACGCTCCAACATCCGAATTATAGGGGTACCAGAGGGGGAAAGGCACAGCCACCAGTGGAAAACTTATTTGAACAAATAATAAAGGAGAATTTCCCCAATCTGGCAAAGGAAATAGACTTCCAGGAAATCCAGGAAGCTCAGAGAGTCCCAAAGAAGTTGGACCCAAGGAGGTACACACCAAGGCACATCATCATTACATTAGCCAAGATTAAAATGAAGGAGAGAATCCTAGAAGCAGCAAGAGCTAAGGGGACAGTCACCTACAAAGGAGTCCCCATCAGACTGTCAGCGGATTTCTCAAAAGAGACCTTACAGGCAAGAAGGGGCTGGAAAGAGGTATTCCAAGTCATGAAATTCAAAGACCTACAACCAAGATTGCTCTATCCAACAAAACTTGCATTTAGAATGGAAGGACAGATAAAGTGCTTCTCAGATAAGATCAAATTCAAGGAGTTCATCATCACCAAGCCCTTATTATATGAAATGTTAAAGGGACTTATCTAAGAGAAAGAAGTTAAAGAAACATGAACAGTGAAAGGACAACAAACTCACAGTTATTAACAACCACACCTAAAACAAAAGCAAACTAAAAGGACAGCTAGATCAGGAGTGGAAACATAGAAATGAAGATCTCAAGGAGGGTTAGCAACAGGGGAGTGGGAGGAGGAGAAGGGGGGAGAAGGTACAGAAAATAAGTAGCATAGACAGTAGATAGAAAATAGATGGGGGGGCAAGAATAGCATGGGAAATATAGAATCTAAAGGAATTGAGACACATGGTCATAAACTAAAGGGGGGGTGATGGTGGGGATGGGGGGGTAGGGTGGAGGGGAATGAAGGGGGGAATAGAACAACTGTAACAGCGTAATCAATAAAAAAATTAAATAAAAAAAAAAGACATGCCTGGGGCTGGGTCCAAGGGTCTAGACAGCATTGCCCCCAGATGTCCAGTTCACACCTTTTTCATTGAACACCTCATTTCATTCTTGGAGAGAAGTGTGGTCATCAGAATTCTAAGATGGGCTCCAGATTTCCTACCTCTATAGTGTGCAAGCATAATCCCCAGAGCCTGTTCGTAAAATGACAGCACTCCTGTGACTACCTTATGTTATAACACGACGGGTCTGAAGACATGGAGGTGGTCTAGACTTGGTGTAATCACACAAGCCTTTGAAAGGCACAGCATTTTTACCTGGCCTGGCTGGTTGCAGGAGGAAGGTGGAGAGATGCATTCTGACTGGCCCACAAGAAAGCACGTATCCTTGCTGTGAGCTGTCAATTGAGGAGCTAAGGGGGACCTCTGACTAGCAGCTAGTAGGACCTCAATCCTACAACCTCATGAACTGTTTCTGTGAACAAGAATGGCTCTGGGAGCGTATTTTCCCCCAGAGCACCTGGATAAAACACACTCTAATGCCTTGATTTTAGCCCTGTGAGACTTGAGCAGGGAACCGACCCATACTGTGCTTGTTTCTGACCTACAGGACAATGACATGATAAACGGGTGCTGTTTTAAGACACTAAATTTGGGGTAATTTATGTTTTGTGAAACATAAAGATAGAGGATTAGGGTTAGAAAGATCTCCATCTCAAAGATTTTGTAAATGTCTCTTTTTTCAAGGGCTTTATTTCATTCATTGTGCACATGTCTTAGACATGACAGGTTGTTATTTTGTCCATAAGCATGAGGCAGGATTCCAACCTAACGGTTTTCGGGTGCTGCCTTCCCCTACTACTGCCCAGACCCCAGGCCTCACCTAAAAACCTGACCCAAATCCTCAGACTTGAGAGAATCTCCACCACCTGACTTGGACATATCCCTGTTTACCTGCTATTCCCAAAGCACCAAATTCCAGGTTCACTGTGACTGAGGAAACTCCTGTGTGATGTTCCAGGAACAAGTGACCTTTGAGGACGTGGTCGTGGACTTCACCCAGGAGGAGTGGGGGCAGCTGACACCTGCCCAGAGGGCCCTGTACCGTGACGTGATGCTGGAGAACTTCGGGCTCCTGGTCTCTGTGGGTAAGTCCATACCCATGCCCCTCATGGTCTCCCCCAATAGGAACTCTAATTCTCCTGGGTTAAAAGTGGGGTAGTCTCAAATTAAAACAGGTATTTTGAATGTATATGGACCTGAGGCAACAGGCTGTTCTGGTTTAGGGAATATCAGTGAGGATCTTTTGCCTGTTAGTTATAGATCTCACCTGAAACTGCTAGAGGCAGGACATCTTGTGTAAGAGACACACTGCATCCCAGAACTTCAGAATCCTAGGCCAGACCTGGGTCTTTCTGTTGTGTTGCTAGGAGCCTGCTCCTCCCTCACCGCCTCCCTCTGCACCTCTTTCTGCCACTACTCACATTTGAACCCTCTGAAGCTGAAACGACACCTTCCCGGCTCCAAGACAGGTAGAGAAGAGTGTGTCTGGGGTGCACATCAGAGGCTCCTGGGTTGCCTTCTTTCAGCCACTACATCCCCTCCACATGGGTCATTGTTACCAGTATGCAGCAGAAGAGGCAGATCTCTCGCTGGCCAGGTCTGGGTCACATGCCTACAACAATTAACTGGCTTATTTTGGTTTTCAGCCACATGGGTCCTGAAAGAGTGAAGGTAGAGTGGGCAGAGGTTTGGGAAAGGTCGCGGGACACAGATGCTTACTCCCTGGATCTCACCCTGAGCAGGACATTGGCTCCCGAAGCCCTCGCTCATCTCCCTGCTGGAACGGAAGGCAGAGCCGTGGCCTGTGGGTGAGGAGGTTCCACCAGGTGTGTGTCCAGGTGAGATGACAGTGTTGAGGGCTGGAATGACCCTGCCTACCCGCATAGGTCTCTCTCTGTATCTGATCTCAGATTCTTTAGAGCAAACTGACTACTCACTGTTGTAGTGAACATTCACCAATCACTACTTTTCTTTGAGTGACACCAAATTCCTGTCTTCCCCGGATTTCCATTCTTGGTGAGGGAGAGGGGCGCACAATAAATAACTAAAAATGCCCTGGCTGGTATACAGCTCAGTGGATTGAGCGCATGCCTGTGAACCAGAGGGTTGCAGGTTCTCATTCCCAGTCAGTGCCTGGGTTGCAGACCAGGTCCCCAGTAAGGGGCGCTCGAGAGGCAACCACACATTGATGTTTCTCTTCCTCTCTTTCTCCTTCCCTTCCCCTCCCTCTAAAAATAAATAAAATCTTAAATAAATAAAAATACAATACCAACAGTGAACAGGATGGTTACAGATTAGGATGAATGCTAAGAAAGTGAAAGTAGATGAGGAGGAAGAGATTAGAATTGGGGGGAGGACTTGAGCAGAGAAATGAGGGCTCACCTGTCGAAGGAGGTGACACGGCAGCTGAAGCCTGAACCGTGAGAACAGGGCCTCCATGAAACAATCTGGGAGAACAGGTGAGGAAATGGCAAGCACATAGGCACTGGGGTGGTGCAGTACAGGTTTCTTACTGAAGTAACAGACACTCCAGCCTCAGTGCTTTAAACCAGAGGTTCGCTTCTGACTCAGGCATCTGTGTGTCATGGCTCTAGGCCTGGTTCTTGTGTTTGTAGATGGCTGGGTGGTTCTGCTCTTCATACCTGCTGTCTAGCTCCTGATACCGGCAGGCACCTCTGTAAGAAATGGGTATGTCCTGGCCCTTGGGCAGGCAGTTCCCACTGTGTCAGGCCATGACCCTATGTAAGCAGTGGCCCATGGTGAGTGCCCAGGAAAGAGGGACAGTGTGTGAGATGACAGATCCTTCCTCCTGAGAGGAATGTCACTGCAGGGTCTCCCCTCCTCAAATGACAAACTTTCACCCAGTGTATTAGGCTCCTGTTGCAGCTTTAGCAAGTACTACACCACAAGTGTAGTACTTGAAGCAACACAAATAGTCTTATAGTTCTAGAGGCCACAAGTCCAAACTATCTGACTGAGCTGTACTTGAGGTGTTGGCAGGACAGTGTATCTCCTGAAGGGTCTAGGGAAAATGCATATTCATTGTCCAGCCTCTCAAGGTTCCCACACTCCTGGACACATGGCCTTGTCCATCTTCAGTGTCAGCCTTGGCTGGTCAGGGTTCCACACTTTAGGCCACCCTGACCTTGACTCTCTTCTTTTCACATTTTAGAGCCCTGGCTAGCCCTAGCTGGTATCACTCAGTAGGCTGAGTGCCAGCCTACAAACCAAAAGGTCTCAGATTTGATTCTCAGTGAGGGCTCATGCCTGGTGGTTGGCCAGGTTCCTGGTTGGGGGTGTGTAAGAATCAACCAATAGATGTTTCACTCGGGCATGGATGTTTCTCTCCTTCTGTTTCTGCCTCCCTTCCCTTCTCTCTAAAAGTATTAAAAAAAAAAAAAAAAAGAACCCTGTAGCTACATGGGGAAATCCCAAAACTCCAGCATAGTCACCAGTGATCAGCAACTTTAATGTCTCATTCACATGTAAGTTGACCGCATACTCACCAGTTGCAGGCCTTCAGATGTGAACACCTCTGGGAGACAATATTCTGCACTTGATTAATTTTTCCCCCTTAACTTTTCAGTGGAGTGGAGCATAAATGAGAAAGATGTCCACGTCATACCTTCAGGTCGGTCCAGTGTCAACAGTGGAGGCTTGGTACCAGGGCAGGACGGCCATCCTGCCAGGAAGGAGGGAGAAGGAGTGCATGTGTTTTTCATTCATCACATCCATTGACCCCTGTTACAGGTGGGGGTTCAGTGGTGAGGAAGGCAGGCAATGGCCCATGGGATCCTCCCACTTAGGAAGACAGACAAATAAACCAGCTCAAAGGGCTCTAACATAGCACAGTAATTTTTTAAAGATTTTACTTATTTATTTTTAGAGAGGAGAAGGGAGGGAGAAGAGAGGGAGAGCAACATCAATCTGTACTTGTCTCTTGCATGCCCCGCATCAGCAGCCCAGCCTGCGACCCAGGCGTGTGCTCTAGACTGGTAATCAAACCAGCAACGCTTTGAGAGTGGAACTCAATCTACTGAACCATACCTGCCCCAGCTATACCACAGTTATTTATTGATCCTCCTAGTGACAGACATTCCAGCATATTCCAGATTGGGTTTCCTTACATCCGGGGTGAGGTGGTACAACAATGAGGGGCCTCCAAGAAGAGATTCTGAGCAATGGGAGGGCTGAGTGGTACTTCCCACATGGTGACTTTTCCTCCTTCACCATCTAGTGTGGTGGACTCTGTGTTTCCTGGGTCCTGGCCATCACTTTGCTCCCGCCAAGCCTGGGCATCTGGTGAGATTTCCCCTGAAGTCTCACTATATCCTCAGCATCTTCTCCTGCCCAAACTCTCTGTGCCTGCCTTGTCATCTCCATTTGTACCCCTTGTACTACTGACTCCCCTTTTCTCTGTACTTCCCCTCCCCCTTTCCTTCTTTGGTTTGCAAAACTGTACGGGTGGATGGCCAAAGCCACTTGCATTTTGAAACTTTCAAAACTGTCACTTTAATTCTTCCATCCACCTATCGATAGGTAAACTATTCCCCCCCAAACAGTGATCATGGGACAATCCCATTTTTTTTGTTGTTTCTTTCAGATTTAGAAACTAGATTGAAAACCAAATTGTCAGCTGCAAAGCAAGACATCTCTGAAAAAACATCCAACAATGTCCTTGTAGATAGGTTCCTGTGGAATGGTCAGCCAGGCTCTGAGCGTGAAGATGCTGAGGGCCACTGGGTACAGAGTTGTGAGAGTCTTGATGATGTGGTACAGGCGGACTTCCAGCCTGTGAAGGCATCTGTTCAGGAGCAGCAACTAGGGACTGGGTTTGGGGAATACTTACGTCTGAGCCTAGATATCCCAACTCAACCCATGACTCCTGAAAGACGGTGCTCCTACACATGGGCAATGCATGGAAAAAGGGAACATCCAGGCGCTAAATTAAATGTGCAGCCGAAAACCTATGCAACAGGGAAATCCTACACATATCAGGAATGTGGGACATCCTTTAGTCACAGCTCTGCATTCATAGAATACCAGAGAATCCACGCTGGTGAGAAACTTTATAAGTACATGCATTATGGGAAGACCTTCGATCAAATTGCACCGTTGATCCAGCACCAGAGAACTCACACAGATGGGAAGCCCTATGAGTGCAGCGAATGTGGGAAGTCCTTCAATGTTAGGTCCTCCTTCAGTCAACGGGAGTGGATTCACACAGGTGAGAAACCCTATGAGTGCAGTCAATGTGGGAAGGTCTTTCGGCAAAGCATACACATCACTCAACGTCAGAGGATTCACATGAGAGAGAAGCCCTATGAGTGCTATGAGTTTGGGAAAGCCTTCAGCCACAACACACTCCAACCTGAGCATCAGAAGATTCACACAGGAGAGAAGCCATTCAGCTGTAATGAATGTGGAAAAACGTTCAGCCACAGCTCATCTCTCAGTCACCATAGGCGGACACATACTGGAGAGAAGCCCTATGAGTGTAGTCAGTGTGGCAAGACCTTCCGGCAGAGCACACACCTCAGTCAACATCAGAGGACACACACAGGGGAGAAACCCTATAAGTGCAGTGACTGTGGCAGGGCCTTCAGCCACCGCTCATCCCTAACCAACCACCAGCGAATCCACACTGGGGAGAAGCCCTATGAGTGTAATGAATGTGGCAAGGCCTTCAGCCAGCTCTCTCCACTCATTCTACATCAGAGGATCCACACAGGAGAGAAACCCTATGTCTGCAGTGACTGTGGCAGGGCCTTCAGCCACAGCTCATCCCTAACTAACCACCAGCGAATCCACACTGGGGAGAAGCCCTATGAGTGTAACACATGTGGTAGAACCTTCAGACAGCTTTCTTCACTCATTCTACATCAGAGGACCCACACAGGAGAGAAGCCCTATGAGTGTAATGAGTGTGGCAGAGCCTTCAGCCAGAGCTCCCCTCTCATACAACACCTTAGGATTCACACTAAGGAAAAGCCCTATACGTGCAACAAGTTGGGGGAGTCCTGCAGTCATTCCTGAGTCAGCATGAGAGGACACACTAGGGAAAAGCCATACAAGTGTGTAAATTGTGGGCAATCCTTCAAACAGAGCACTCACCTCGCTCAGCACTGGAAAATCCATACATACGAGTGCAGAGACTGTGGGAAGTTCTTCACATGCAGCTCCTCTCTGAAAAAGGGCCACAGAACATACTAGAAACAGGCGCTCTACATAATTTGAGTCATAGGAAGCCATAAGCCATAGTTCATCCCTTCCTACACTTCATGAGGAAGATGACAGACATTTGTGCACACGCTTTCACACACGGTATAGTCCACAGATCATCCTAACAGTAGGGGAATGTGTAGACAATGTTGAAGACTTTCAGATGTGAGTGACCATCAACGGTATGTTACAGAATCCACACAAGGAGAAGTGGGACAATGTATTGGATTTGGACATGACTTCTACGGATTCACTGGATTCCAAACTTTAGATCTTCACACTGGTAAAAAACCCCAACAAATGCTTTTCCTATAAAAGTACTAAGTACAGTCCTGACTGGTGTGGCTCAGTGGACTGGGTGTCCTCTCATAAACCAAAAGGTTGCTGCTTGATTCATAGTTTGATTCCGGGTCAGGGCACATGCCTGGGTTGCAGGCCAGGTCCATGGTTGGGGGCGAGAGTCAACTGATCAACTGCTTCTCTCCCTCTCTTTCTACCTCCTTTCCCATCTCTCTAAAAATAAATATCTTTTTTAAAAATAAAAGAACTAAGTGCAGTCCAACTTTATCATTATTGAACATTACTGTACATTCTTGAGTGGGGAGAAGTGCTTATGAATGGTACAAAATGACACTGATATTCCCTAAAAATAATAATGGCAGTTTTCCACATATTCGAGTGGCATCTGGATGGAATCACTATGCATACTGAACTGTGTCAGTATAAAGTTTTCTGGTCTATGTGTAAACTGTCTGATCGAGGTACTCAGCAACCGGTCAGATTTGAATTTCATGTGACAAAATATCAGTAAAATTTGTACTGTAAACAGATTTTAAATTACTTATCAGCATTATTTTGCAACAAATTAACCCTTGTATGCAATGGAATTGGAAAGGTTTGTGTAGGAAGTCTTGAAATACAACTTCCATAACTCCTTGCAGGTTCTGCAATGGCTTTTGCTGGTTTGTTCTGCTATAAATTTCTTTACTGCACTCACAGGTATTAGACAGATGGTGCCACTGCACAAAAAGACCAAAATTTTTCCTGAGTCCCTTCTCATAAGCAATAGCATTTCCATGTTGAAAGTTTATATTTTGCAAGATTTGGCTATTGGTGGGTGATATGTGCAAATTAATCCTTTCTTGAAGCATTTTTTCATTAATTCTTCATCCTGGTGCTTAATAAATTTTTGTTAATGTAAGTGGAAAGAAAGTCCATAGTATTTCAATAAACCTTAAATCTTCTAAAAGCAGTCTCCCTGACAACCATGATCCTTAAATGGTGTCTTGCCACCCTTGACTGTTGCCGCATAGCAATAATAACTAATAACACTCTGATAATCTTTTTCATTTTCTGTATTCATAGAGAGGGAGAAAGAGCAGGAAAGAAATAATGACATGAGAAAGAAACATTGGTTGCCTCTCATATGCACCCCACCTGCAGACCAAACCCCCAACCCAGGCATGTGCCCTAACCAGGAATGGAAAGGGCGACCTTTGGCTTTGCAGAGCAACACCAAACCAACTGAGGCACACCAATCAGGTTAGGAACCTTTTTTACTACTACAAATACAATTGGGTCTCTCTTGCCTCATGTGTTCCAGTGGTTCCTATCACTCTTCCGATAAAGAAAAAGCCCTAATTGTGACAGACCAGGTGCTGAAAGATTGGGCATCTGCACACCTTTGAGTCTCAGTCTACCCCAGGTGTCTGTGCCAGCTACACAGACCTTGATTGTTTTTTTCTGAAAAATAGTCTCTCACAATGGGACCCATGACTTTGTCATGAAAATCACCAGTGTGTATGTTATGCATGCAGACTCTTGACCCTTGCATGCCAACAAATGAGTCCAAATCTTTGGGGGGGTGTGATGAGGCTGACTCATTTATATTATGAGGGTGCTGCTCTAAACGCATTATGCTGCCCTTCTCAGGAACCACAGAAACACCCTTTCTGCTTTTTTAAGGGACCGCTCCCGCTACCTGTCACTGGTTCATGGCTATAGAGCCTCCGTCTCTGACGCATGAATTTTTCTTCAAAGAACCCTTTCCAGAGACTTTGTAGTACACACAACGATCATTTGCTTCTTCATTTAAGGACTATCACTCTGGACAGACTGAAAGTATACAGAGAACCATCTCCACCTGTGGGATTAGCACCCCATATTTATGGCTTCATTTGACTTTCCCTCCATAAAGTCTCTATTTCCAAATACGGTCATATTGGGGATAGGACTTCAACATAGATTTGGGGACAAGGAAGTTGCAATTCAGTTTATAACAGGGTATTTAAGCATTTCTTCCCACGAAATACCAGGTTTCCATGTGTGTGATTTACCTTTCGCTACCCCATGAACTCTGCCCATTCGTTGTCAGCCCACCTGGGACTATCCCTTGCCCTCCAGGTACCTCCTTTTTGAGTCCTGGCTCAGAGCCCCATTGTTTCTACACTTTTCAGCTTCCCAAACTCCAGTGGTGAGACCTAGGACACGCTCTTGGTGCCTCACCTTTCTGCATTTTTATCAGTGGTCCATTTCTCTGCACGTTTGTTTCGTGTTGGGTTCTTTTGTTTTTTTAAAGATTTTTTTAGGGTAAGGGAGAGAAACGTCAATGTGTGATTGCCTCTCATGCGCCCCCTACAGGGACCTGGCCTGCAACTCAGGCATGTGTCCTGACTAGGAAGCAAAACCAGGGACCCTTTGATTCACAGGCTGGTACTCAACCACTGAGCCACACCAGCCAGGGCTATATTAGGTTTTTTAGTTGAATCTATTCCGGTGACATTGGTTAGTGAAATTATATGGGTTTCAGGTGCCTGCACCTTTGGTTAGTAGTTGAGACCCTTAGCACACACTCGTTACCACTAATGACCGAGTCAAAAGCTACTGACTCAGCTTTCTCTGAGAATGAGTAGGAACATCTGGTTATGTGTCTGTGTTTCTGTCTGTTGCCATTTGTTGGGCAGGATGGTGGTGGTTAGAGAATCCATCCTGAAATCTTTTCTATAGGTTGTTTTTTCTCATAGTTTGAGAAAAGCAATTCTGAAACTATTTAAAAGCTATTTTAGGATTCAGTAGATTAATATGTCAATTTTTGAGGTGCCAGCATCCTTACTATTGAGGCCAACTGCATTTCCCACGAGTGTAGCAGTGGATGTGCCCAATCAGGAGGCCAGAACTACCAGGCCCATGTCAGGGACAGGGCCTTGCTAGACTTGCAGTCCCGCCTCTCAGCCGGGGCGAAGGCTCCCAGACACACCTCTCTCTATATATAATTCCCAGAGGCTACATTTGAGTAGGCGTCTGAACCTGCAGAAGGGTCCAGGAAGCCTGGGTTTGAAAAATACAGGAGTTACAGAAAATCATGATTACACTAACCTCGTTCACCAGGTGGCAAACAGGGATATCTAATGCCTCTTAATACTCCGAAAAGGCTGAGCCCTTCCCACGTAAGGAGGCAGTGAACAGCCACAGACAAACCAATTCACCTTGGAGCAACGCTTTCTGAGAGTTGAAGTTCAGGCTCCCCTGCTCGCTGTAAGGCCTACTTCGAAGGCTTTTTCTTATTTATTTCCAAGAGGTTACCTTTGGGCTGGCGTTCCAAGCTCGGGAAAAGGGCGGTGGGAGGTCCCGCAAAGTCCCTAGGTTTTGAGAATTCCCGCAGTTGTAGGGAATCAGGGAATCATGGTGGCCCAGACAGGTGCTTAGAGCTCGTACTACTACTACTCAAAGACGGCGCTCTCGAAGGAGGGAACAGAGGGCTGCCCTAGATTTCAGAGGGACGGGACTTCTGGGAGTAGTAGGGTAGGCTCCCCGGCCAACGTTAGGCTGCTCTGATCCTTACCATTTCCAGAGGCTACTGTTGAGCTGGAATCACGATCTAGTGGCTCCGCAGAGTCCGGAAAAACTGGGCTTGAGAAATCAGGAGTTACACAAAATCTTGTCTATACCAAGTTCACTAGGTGACGATTTCCGACCCCTGATACTACCACTCCCTGAGTTCGGGCGCCCCTCCAGGCAACCGGACGCAAAGTGCGCATCCATGGATTCGCAACTCGTAGAAGTTAAAGCTTCCGGAGAGTAGTAGTCCATTGAATGTGTCAGGCTCCGGCTCCGTACTCACGGAGCTGCGGAAGGCAACTCCCAGCAGGACAAGCTACACCGGAGGAGGCCGGGAGAGGGGGCCTCAGTGGGTCGTGAGTATTGAGCGCGAATTTCACACAAGCCCCTTCCACAAATACATGGTCCTGGGACCCAATGAAATAAATGTCGCGATGTGCCTTCTATAGTCAACGAAGACATAAACTTAAATGTTATGTTACTGTCCCGGAGTCTCTGCAATTGGGAGCGTAGTGAGGTGTCCGGGTGGACTCAGACCCGTTCTTTTTCCGTTTCCTGGAGTGAAACCCAGGGAACAATCGAAACTTCCCATCACTTCTCTCAGTAGCTCCCTTTTTGATTCCGCTACTTTTATTTTTCTCTCTGCCCAGCGCCCACGTTTAGGTGATGACCACAAGGACCGCCATGGCAACAGTGGGCAGCAGCGAATACTCACAAGGGGAAATAGGTACGCGCACCAGGAATCTAACTTCGATCTCTAATGCTCGAAGGTGTGGGAGAAGCGGTTCCCGGAACGTGACGAGTGGCCCTCTGGGAGCTGTAGTACCTGCGCGCCAATGCAGGGCAGTCCCAACAAACGGCAGGCGTACCTTCAACCACCAATTAGACGAAAGAGCGAAAGAGCGTTGAATGTGGCTTAAGGCGGAACTGTCCAGAGCTCTGGGCCCAGTTTACACCACGACCTTGGAGGAGTGAACGCAGCATCACCGGAAGTGGACGCATCTCTTTCTGGGTGTTGTAGTTTGTGCTGCTTCGAATGGTGTGGGTGGCCACGGTCTAACGGTCGATGGTTTTGGATTAGGGCGAAACGGTTCAACCAGCGCGAGTTTGTGAGGCAGTTCT